TGTAACCTAATTAAAGGGACAGCTGAGACAACTACAGTATTTTTCAGGACTAGTCAGGTCTGTGGTGGCTGTATGGCTTTGAAATAGCTGTAAACTAGGCGAGTGGTTAGGGCATCTGACTAACACCCAGGGAATCCAGGTATACGTTTCCACTCTGGGTGACACTCAGGGTGACCTTGGGTCATTTACTCTCTCTACCTAATTTACCTGGCAGGGTTGTTATGAAGCTAAAATGGGGAGAACATGCAGGGGTTTTTTCGTAGAAAAAGAGCTAGGGGGACTCATTAGCATAACTCATTAGCATATGCCACACCCCTGACATCACCGGAAGTGTGTCATAAGGCCACACCCCCTGACATCACTGGAAGTGTGTCATAAGGCCACAACCCCTGCCATCACCGGAAGTGTGTCATAAGGCCACACCCACCACTCAGTTAATCTTAGTCTTAAAGGTTAGTCTAACCACAACAGACACCCTGTGAGGTAGGTGGGGCTGAGAGAGCTCTGACAGAAACTGCTCTTTTTCAAGAACAGCTTGCCAGAACAATATGAGCAATATCCTGAGGAAATTGTGAAACCTGCCAAAAGTGAAACTGAAAACAAATTTCATAAATACACAGGAATGCCAGGTATCTGGAATCCCACAATTTTTAAAAAAAAATATCAGGATATACAGTGCATATGGACTGATTCACAGAAAAAGACACTCAAAGCCATTTTAAACAGTATATCACTCAACTGATTGAAGAGGCTATTGCCTACTACCATGAAGTATTAAAGAATCAGCTGCATAAAACCATCAGCAATCCCAAGCAGGTGCCTAAGGCCACATAGCAAGCTCCTGGCAGAGGCATAATTCTAACTGCAGAGATACCATGATTCATAGCTCAGTCTTTTAGTCACTACACTATATTAGTCTTCAACACAATTTTATCTATTTTCAGTAACTGGTTTCTGGAGAGAAAAGCAACAACAAGCACATCAGTGAAGACCTAGTACCAGAGTGCCAAAAAGGAAAGCTGTTTGGTAATAGATGAAGTACAAAATATGTAGCTATTCACATTCCAGTTACCAGGAGTGTTCCCTCTAAGCTGAGTTAGTGTGAGCTAGCTCACAGCTTTTAAGCCTCTGGCTCACATATTTTTCTCTTCACTCAGGAAGAAGGGCTCCAAAGGCAAACTAACTGATGCAGTAGCCAAATCACTTGCTTACAGCTTTAATGCCAGTGGCTCACAAGGTAGAAATTTTGCTCACAAGACTCCACAGCTTAGAGGGAACATTG